AAGATTAATTGGTATAATGCTGACATGAATCTACTATGTGGCTTACACCAAAGTAATCCCACTCATAATTTGTTGCCATACGAGGTCTTTTTCCACAACACTGGCATTTGCACAAGCTGAGAGAGAGAGAGAGAGAAAGGGAAATAATGGTTTCAGTACAACAGAAGGACAATCTGCTTTACCGGTACCAAGTGCTTATTAAAAACAAAGATGAAATGCAGTTTGGCAGGGGAAATATCAAGTAAAAAGATCAAGAAGATTTTGATTTGAAAGAGTTAATGTAGAACTACACTTTCTAAACAGACTCATCCTGTAACAGTTCTGCAACCTTGTCTGTGCTCAATGATCTGTCCTATAAGAGAAATGGGAAAGACTTGATCTTCTCGTTACACACTACAGAGGTGAAAGATACTCTATTTTTCCTATTTTGTGATGGAGCATCTCAGAAGAAGGTGAAAGGAAATATAATCTGCAAAAAGGATTTAGGAAGCAGTTTGAATTCTGGTGGGAGTATGGGTAAAGGGAAAGAGGAAAGAGTGATAACTACCTTCAGAGAAAATTGCTATTTTGTTTTCTTCCTCTGAATCTTTGTCTCCCACCATCTCTGGGTCCTAAATTGTCTCTAGGAGATTGTGTTTTTCTTCTTCCCCTGCCTCTGCATTTATATATAAAATGCAATAGCTATTTGAGGTATGGGCATTCTTAACCTGGAGACCTCTAGATATATTTGTAGGGAAAGGGGAGGAATTGAGCAGCAACTTAGAGCAGCAACCTTTTGGGCACCAGAGACTGGTTCCGTGGAGAGGTTTTCCGTGGACTGTAAGAGGCGTTGTTTCGCATGCTGCCTGCATCCTGTGGATGGGGCTTCACTGGTTTGGGTGTCCTTGTTTCTGGCATGCCATGGACCGATGCCAGTCCACGGACCAGGGGTTGGGGACTCCTGACTTAGGGCACATTTTGTTATTTCCAGAATTTGCTGGTAGACTTCTGTCCTGTATCTTTCAAATGCCTAGCAATGCCAACTGTCTGACTGTAAAAGTTCCCATGTCCAATGTGATTGATAGCATAAACAGTGCTCTCCTTTGCTCTGGGTCACTAATCCCTGCCTTATCCTCACTGAACAGGAACTAAGTCTGGCAGAAATGTCAAATGCCTTCCCCACACTTTCTAGGCGTCTGTGTGATCTCACAAAACCATCACACTTTTGGGTAACTTCAGAGAATCTAAAGACGGGGAATGGGGGAAGTTAAATGTCAACAGCTTGTCTGGCATGCAAGTATTCAGTAGGTGGAATTTAAATAGCTAACTCCCTAGGGAAACAGATTGCTTCCATTTTGCTATCATTCTTCTGCAATACAAAAATACCATTCACCAGCATGTTAAGCATAATGCCTTATTTTTCCCGAAAAAACAAACACAATAACCAACTAGGGAAAAAATCAAACTGGGAATGTCACCCATGAACTCAAGTAGCAAGTTACAAGAGAAGGTGGAAACCTTAGAAAATAATACTGTAAATCTAGCATTGCATTCTAAATCTGAATAGATTGCACCCGTTTGGGATTCCAAACTCATATAAACCATCTTCAATATTTAATGCCACATGTTTTGTCCTAAACCATGTTTGCCATTGCAGTAGTTCCAAACTATGCTATGAAGGACTAACAGCTCATACTTTTAATTCTGGCCTGCTCATATGTCTTTGTGTAAGCTCAGCTAGTAAAATTACAGTATTCAACCTTGAGGACTAATTTAAAAAAACATTTTCCAAGTGTCACTTTCTTCCTTTATTGCAACAAATAAATATAGAAAGATAGCATTGGTGGTTATAGTGTTGAAATTATTATTCATAATATTAATGTAGGGAGGGTGGTACAGGTCGTCTTCATTTAGTGAGGCTGTTCACAGATATGACAGTGATGAAAAAAGAACTGTGATTAGTAGGGCAATACTGGAAGAAGGAATCTTTGCCTACCTTGCAAGAATGGTTTTTTAAAGTTTCTTATTTGGCGGAAATGGCAAAGATTTCGGCTTTTTTAAAGGATCAATCGCAAGAGAAGTTTTTTGCGGTATGGGAAAAATGGATAGATTTTATACAACATAAGTTGGATATAAAAAAATATTACTTAGTTTTTCAATAACTTATATATAAATCTTAATATTTTATAGATTGTATTTTTTTTCTTCTCTTTTCTTATATTTCTTATTTTTATTTTATCTTATTTTACTTCTTTTTTATATATATATGCATCTTTTCTTCTTTCTTTCCTCTTTTATTCTTTTTCTTTTTAAGCATTTTTCTTTTTTAATATTTATGCTTTTCTTTTTTACATATATATTATTGTTAATTATCTTATAAGTTTATGTAATGTATTTAGATATATTTATGGTTTATACTTTTTAAATTTCTTTTTAAGATTTTTAGAAATTTTAATTAAGCCTATATTCAGCTCTGGGAAGGTTGGGGGGACGGAGTGGGAGGGTTGGGGTGGTTGGGTAGGGTTGTTTTTTGTTTTTTCTTTTCCCTATTTGTAAAAATTTTAAAAATTTTCAATAAAAAAAAAAGAACTGTGACTTAATGCAGGTCTGTAAAGCAAAGCTGAAGTAAGATCATAAAGCCAGTCATGGTTTCACTTAGCAGTTGCTTTACTTAATGACCAAGTTGCTTGTCCCAATTATGGTTGCTAAATGAGGACTACCTGTATAGTATTCATATATGACATCACCATTGGGGAAGCTGTGTTAACATTTTAATTATTATTTGCATATAAACTGTGTTTCTTTGACCCTTCATTTGGCAATCAACATCTTAACTTAGGGCTCATTATTTTATTATATTGCAAATAAAGTTCTAAACTGAGGGATGCCTACTCAGAATGGATATCCACCTTCAATCCAGAAAATATTTTAATCAACAAATTGACTATTTTAATATAATTCACTAATTTAATCAGCTTCTTTTAAAACAATTTGTATTAATAAAACACTTCATCAAGGCTTGAAGATTCATGTCCTTGAGACCCATGGCAGAGCTTGTGTGTCAAGCCTAGTTGCCTTTTGAACCTTTCAAAAATCGTTTAGAGACAACTGGAAAATTCCAGAGAACTGTAAAGTTCCTTCCTTCTTAGCACATGTCTGCACTTTAGTCTCCTAGTTCCTGAAGTTCCACTTCTGTAAATTAAACCTGACACAGGAGAAACAGTTGAAGAAAATCCAATAGGGGATGTTGTCCATTTGTCTGTTATTGGGGCTCCAACTAGTTCAGTATTTCTCAATCTCAGCAACTTTAAAATGGGTGGATTTCAACTCCCGGAATTCCCCAGTTGGTGCTTGTTGAAGTCCACCCATCTTAAAATTGCCAAACTGTAGCGATGATCACATATAAACATTCCACTTCCACCGAGGCACTTAATTCAATTTAAAATGTGTAAGTGAGGGCAGCTGGAACTCGTATTCATATACAATACTAATCTTTTTAGAGGAAAAGCTGCAATATCAACATAATAATTAGGATGCACATTGACTTTAAAAATCACTCTGTCAGGATTTCCATACTATGGCAAAATAGTCATATATGAAGAGAAACAGCCTAAGACAAAGTTATGTGTGAAATGATTTTAAGCAAGGCAGTTAAAATAGCTGAAAAAAGAAATAGAGCTCAAGAATTTTAATTACTGGCTCGATTAGAAATATAATGGACATTGTAATAAAGAGTTTTTTTGAACTAGGGCAGGTATATTAAACCCAATAAAATACAACAAAATAAAAATACATCAGAAAAATCTTCAAAAATGGAAATCAGGTTCAAAACTGAGCAAAAGCAGCTTAGCAGGGAGATAAAACCACAACTAAAGAAAAATTGAGTGAACAAGAATTTGCCCGTCTCTTCTCCATTATCTTTTAAGTTGCTTTTAGACAACAACTCCCAACTGCATCCCAACTCAGAATGTCAGTCATTTTAGAGAAGAAAACATGTTAATCTTTACTGTTTTTTAAAAAAATCCTGAGCAACAGCGCATTTGTTTAAACAAGTTGAAGTTCTTTCTAAGAAAAAGTTTTCAGAATCAAAACTGAAGGTGGTCAGATGAGGGCGGATGGTTTGTGAATCATTTTGTCTTTCCAAAGGGCCCACTTCATTCCTGTTGTTAAATATCTTTCTCCCCAAAGCCCCACATGACTAACTCCCACCCAAACTCTCCAAATTTTATTTTCAGTTATATTCATGTGAACTTGGGAGGTTCCTTTTCTCAATATATCTTGCAGCTTTTCTCTACTTAAGTAGAGTGGAATTTAGTGATTTTAAATAAATATCTGCCATAGAAGATTGATTTTGTTCTTATAATAGTTGCCAAGGTTCCTGTTGCAATGTAGATCCTTTCTTCTGAATACTAGAAATTTCACTGAACATTTTTTCTGCAATAAAATTCAGAAGAAACTTCTGTTGATTAAACAATCATCCAATCAGAAAGTCCCAGCTACTATACTATGAAAGACAATCCTTATTGTAAGCTAAAGATCTTGAGAACCAGTTTATGGCTTGTTGAAGCAAAACAGCATTTAGTCATAACTTACAAGCTGGTTAACAATTCAAAGTTTGAACCTACCAGGGTTTCATCAATTTGAATAAAACAAAGTTCAGCGGTCAAAAAAGATGCATTTTTGGTTGTTCTATAGAGATTCAGAAGAAAAATAGGCACAAGGAAGCTCTGAAACACTGGTAATACAAAAGGAAGGTCTGTCTCAGTGCAAATTAAGATTAATGGTAAGGATCACAAGCCAATATGAACTTCACATAACTGTTAACTGTATTTATTGAAAAATATGTCATAAGCAAAATATTATAGGAAGATATTCAATAAATAGCTTCAAGAAGACCAAGCTACACATAATTGGCATACGTCTGCTTGTGCACAATCTTGCACACTCACAAGATGTTAACGTTCTTGAATAAATATAATGACCTGGAAAAAGAAGAGTGCTGCATTATAGAGTCCTCTTACCCATAGTTTGCTATCATAATAAAAAGATCCCAGCAGCTTTACAATGTGTGGATGATCACAAGTAGCAAGGATCTCTATTTCCACCATGTAGTCTTCCAGCTCATCTTCACTTTTGGTCTCAATAACTTTGGCAGCAGCTAAGGCTCTAGTCTCTCTGTTTATGGCCTGTAATATATAAGCAAAAGGAACATTACATCTTGTGTGACAATTGGATGAGTGCTACTCCACACACCTGGAAGCACAATTTTGATTATCTAGAGTTATGATTATTGTACCCAATAATAATCCTGGTGTAATTGGTACATGAGAGCATACTAAAATGTGTCATGAAATGTCAAAACATATGTGCAATTATTGGAATTACTCAAATTAACTCCATGATCAAGGCAACAATCAAATATTCTATTAAGTCTGAAGGCAGCTCCATCTGAAACCCATCATTGAGCAACTGCTATGGCTGAGGGGTTACAGGGAAAAGAGGAAAATGTGTGTTGTTTTTTTTTTTTTTTTTGGTAAAGCTCTTATAAATTATAAATTACCATTTTTGCATATGTGGAACATAGTCTAAACCATAATTGGGTAGCTTACAAGATGAGACAGATTTCTACATTAAGTTTCTGACCAAGTTGCTAAGATTACCGTAAGCAGTTAAAAGCGGCATGTATTCAAATCTGCATATGTACTTCGGTATATATCTGTATATCTAACAATGTTTGCAGCTCATTTACCAGCACACATTATACATGAACCTCAAGATTAAACTGGATGTCTGTCCAGTTTAAACAATTCTAAACAATTCATAAATGGGTATGCTGTTCAAAGCCTTCATTATCAATACACCTAAAGTAGGAAGTGAAGCTGTGGAGCAAGAGGTAGTAATGTAAAGGCTCAAAGTATCTTAACAAATCAAAGCAGGATGGATCAAAGATATATAGGAAAAATGATTATCACTGAGGGTCCAAACTGGAAACATTGCAAACAGGTTGTATTGTAAACTGAAAATATAGAGCTCTTCAAGTTATATGGAAGTAATTCTCTTTTTATAAACTGCTCTAAGATAGCTTCAGTTGAGTTGAGTTGAAGGATGACAAACACTGAAGTAGTTTAAATTACGCAAACTCAAGTCTCTACCAGAAAGTCTCTAATACTTTACTCCTCTGCATCTGGCACTTCATTCTTAGCCAAATTGGACAAATGAAGCCTTTTAGGAGTGTTTTCCAAACGCTGCTCTCTCGATTAGCTAGAGACAGATACTAGATATTAGAGCAGAGTTCTCCAAACTTGGCAACTTTAAGACTTGTGAACTTCAACTCCCAGAATTCCTCAGCCACCCACGCTGGTTGGGGAATTCTGGGAGTTGAAGTTCTCAAGTCTTAAACTTGTTATGTTTCCTGTACTAGAGGAAAAATGAATTGGATCTCATTACTGATTTGTTACTGGTCAACTGAGTCAGGCAAAGCCCTGCAATCTCTATAAAGTTTTAACATCAGTTCTGAAAGCTTTTTGAGAAAGGTCCTGGACAGCACTGGCCCTCCTACCCATCTTGGACAATGATATCTGATTCAGTTTCCTTGGTCATCTGAACCCAGTTCTCAGTGCTATCTCTCTTAATTTGGCCAAAATGTGAGGGAATGAGGAGTGTACCGAGCAAAAGAGGGCAATGCATAAAGTCCTGGTTGAATTTCTCTAGACTGCTCCATTTCCCAGGTCAGTATCCAGGTAATCTGCCAAGGCATAAGGACAGCCAGTCAGTGATTACACATACAGTATCATCCACAAATAGTTTTTCTCCAGTTGACAAAAAGGGATACTTAGGATAAGCTTTTGTGATAAACAGAGGTATACATGTACAAACAAATGAATAGCAAAGATAGTAAAAGCCTTATTGAATAAACTTAACCAATCTACTTAAGTACAGCACAAAACCATATGCTCCACAACTTTGTCTAATACTCTGAATATAGTATATAATTCTTTCTTTACTTGAAGACACATGGTGGTACTTTCCACCCTGAATCTTCTGCAAAGCCCACATCGGGGTTTTGTGGGGTGAATGAGCAGAGAATTATGCTTCACTGGAAAATGCTAAGGGCTTGTTGTCTACATTACTGCTTTCTCTTTTTAGATCTCTGTTTATAATATCTTCACAGACAGTTTATAATGGCATTTGTGCCCAGCATAAACATTCAAGGTGTGCTTGAGTGAGGACAACATTGGAAATGCAAGAATATGTTGGCTACTGTGATTTTATAATGCTGTTTAGTAAGCAGCATTTTGGAGGCTGAAGCTGAGTTTGTACCCTTGCACCATCCTATCTCTTTCTAAAAAGAGAGGGCAAGGTGGGGAGAGAAAAATAATAATTTTATTTTCTTTTAAAAATATTATTGTACTTTTTTTTAGAGAAGTGTAGTTTGTGCTAGCAAAACAAAAGATCAGAAGGCACCGGGAAATACTCAGGCCCACTGCATGAAACTTAGTACAAGAAACTACATGCACCAAATGATAGAAAGATCTGCCCTCTCTCCCCACAGGGTGCAGAACTATTGGCTTGGAGTAGCAGAACACAGTTCTACTCATCACAGGGCCACCATCAAAGCGATATTAAGAAGTATGAGAGTTTCCAACTGGAGAAAACAAACTAAGGGTCCTAGTGTCTACAGAGATTCTCAATCATTCAGGTCATGGTTGTCCCAAGGTGCTTTTTCAAAAGGCAACTGGACTTTCTTTCTTTCTAAGATCCTAGTGATACTGGTTAGGCACCAACTTTAAGAGATCCATTATAATAAGGACCCAACCTTATTGATATCCTCCAAATGCTGTACATCTTTTCTGGATTATGTGTTGGCATGGCTTTAGGAAATGTGCTAAATCAGATTTTCAAAATCTTATAATAATAGTAATAATAATAATAATAATAGTAATAGTAGTAGTAATAATAACAATAGTAACAACAACAACAACAATAATAATAATGGAGGTCATCTAGTCCAACCCCCTGCTCAGGCAGGAAACCCTATACCATTTCAGACAAATGGTTGTTCCAGTCTCTTCTTAAAAACTTCCAGTGTTGGAGCATTCACAGCTTCTGGAGGCAGATTGTTCCACTGATTAATTGTTCTAACTGTCAGAAAATTTCTCCTTAGTTCTAGGTTGCTCCTCTCTTTGGTTAGTTTCCATCCGTTGCTTCTTGTCCTGCCTTCAGGTGTTCTGGAGAATAGCCTGACTCCCTCTTCTTTGTAGCAGCCCCTGAGATATTGGAACACTGCTGTCACGTTACCCTAGTCCTTTTGTTAAGCCAGAAAAAAAAAGTCAGATTCATTCTTACAAGAGAGTAAACAAATCTTGACTTTTTGTCAGTTTCTTTTCCTTTTAAGCAACTTTTGCAGTCACCTTTAAGAGATTATACAAGCTTGTAACAGAAGCATACAGCCTGAAACTCCATTCCTCAGTAGCCCACAGTGCACTCTTTAGGGACTTTCTAAAGTTGTTACCAAATTATTATTTTAATGTATCAAAAGATGAATTATTAAATTCATTACCAAAAACAGGTTAATAATTCTGATTTATAAATAAAATGAAAACAAATGTATTTTCAGCCTGCCCAAACCCACAATTTTTTGGATTATGGCCCTGGCATGTCACACAAAGATCAAGAATGGCATTTGGTATGAAAAACTTTTGCAAAATCCAGTAACTGGATTTATACTCTGCAGTGGAAGCATCTGTTGAGTCATGCAACAAAACCCACAAGACAGAGAGATATTTATGTTTATGTGTTTGTCCTCTGACACTCCATACCATTACTCCATTAGTTGTCTATTCATCCTTTAAATTTTCCAGACTTATATTTGCAACAAATCTTATTTGCCAGATAACAGAGGCTAAAATCAAATGCTTAATAGCTTGTTTTACGTGCCTTTTAATGCCTGTTAATTATTACACATATTGTTATTCTAATTTCCAGTTATCTCATTTCTAAAGTAGTAATATAGAGCAATAGGAGATCATTTGTAGAATAGATATTTCAGGGAATAAAGGGGAGAGACGAAACCATATGAAAGTTTACAATGACAGAGACCTTGCTGCCTCATCACAAATTTAATTCAGTTACTCTGGTTGTCTAGTAGAATATTTCTATCATAATTTCTAAATTTGTGAAAATGTGAAAAATGGAAATACAGACCAGTGAAGTTATATATTAAGTCAACAAACTTCTGTGATACATCTTGCCCTCAGGGCAAAGTACAATGCTCAAAGATTATTCTCAGTATGTTTTCCAAAGGATTTACAAATATATTACATTTCTTCATCTTCCATCTGTTCAGTGCAGTATGAAAATGATTGCACAGCATATGGAGTATGATGGAGAACAGCTAGAGGAGAAATGGAAACGTTCATCAGAGAAAAAAATGACAATGTAATGAAAGATTACAAACCTTATGTGGACTTTTTCCTGAAAGAAAAAAAGATTGAATTCATGACTTCAGAACTCAGGGATTAAACAAGGATGAACAGAATGGGAGAAAATTTAAGATGATAATTACTTGATAGAAAACAGAAGACATACAGTAATTGTATGTTTTCTTTTCTTTCTTATTTCCTTTTTCTATTTGACTTCCTATTTCTTTTTATTTTTGTGTAATTTTACTACACTGAAAATTTCCCCCTCTCTCTGGATATATAAAAAAATGAAAACTTTCAAGTGATGAACTACCTTTAGACATGGCTTTTTTGTGTTATAGGCATACTTCAACAACTCATTCCGCAGAGCAAGACTCAACCATTGCAATGTTCTCATGCACGCCTTAGCTTGTTCTGTGCTGGCCTCTATCAGGAAGCAAACTTCCTTTCATTTTAGATGGAAAGTGATTAAAACGTCTACTGTTCCCATTTTTTTAGGAATGAGAGCACATTTATTGTATTTGTTTTTCATCTGTCTGTCTTAATGCAAATCTTTTTTACATTTTTATCTATGCAATTTTTATATTTGTGATTTGTGATTAAATATTGAAAAAATAAAGTAATAATGACCTATTCTCTTCAACTGAAGAGGGCCAAGAAACTCTAACAAGGGACATCCATACATATATAAACATGTGACAACTGCAGGATAGAGTTACAACAAGAGTGCTTCTCTTCAGAGTTCTCTTCAGTTCTGCCACCGT